TCCCCTCTCCCACCTCCTTTTCCCAGTCTCCCCCAGTTTTGTTCAATAAAGACAGATTCCATTTTGGAAGACACGTTATCTTTATTTTGTACATCAAGAAGAGGGGCTAGGGAAGGGTAAGTGGAAGGAGGTGAGGGAGGAATGGGGCACGAGCCCCCGATGGGGAGGACTGGGCTGGCTCTGCGGGCTTCTGGGTGTGGAACCTCTCCTGCAGCCCCCCAATTGTGCCCTCTCCCCAGATGGCAGCCTGCGGCAAGTGCAGCCGGTCTGATGGCCGAGTGCTGTGATGTGCCCAGTGTGGGTACTCCGGGCAATCCAAGCCAGGACTGCTTTGCAAGTGGGGCACCCCTGAGAACTGTCTGTCCGGGGTGGGGGTCGGGACTCTTTAAGCACAGCCCTCGGCTAGCCTGAGACAGCATCTCCACGCTCTAAGTCCTCCTCTGATGCCCTGCCGGCACTGCTTCCGGCCATCCTTAAGCCCTGTTCAGGGTCTACTTAATGTGGACATGCTAGTTCGAATTAGCAAAACGCTAATTCAAACTAGTTTTTTAGTCTGGATCCGTTAGTTCGAATCAGCTTAGTTCGAATCAGCTAAGTTAGTTCGAATTAACGTTGTAGTGTAGACATACCCCAAGCCACCTATTAGCATTTGGCAGTGGTTGTGCCTACCGACCCCACTAAGATCATGACTCTATTGTGCCAGATGCTGTACAATTACATAGTAAAAGCCCTTAACCCAAAGAGCATACAGTCTAAACTAGGCAAAAGCTGGGAGAGGAAACAGGCATGAAGAGGTGAAGTGACATGCCCAAAGTCACAAACAGCTTTTCAGTTTCATAGCCAGGAATGGAAGCCAGGTTTCCCAAATCCTAGTCTAGTGTTCTGTCCAGTAGATCAGCCTGCCTTCTCTGAGCCGCTAGAAGATATAACAGCTAAAATGCAGACAGCCCATCTGCACTGGCATCGCTACGGGGAGAAATGTCCTAGTGAGCAATTTTAAGAAAAAGAGCCTAGTGTAGACATAGCTTTAGAGGTAGGAATGGTAAACCCTAGAGCAGGGGTCGGCAACCTTTTCTAACCAAAGAGCCAAACTACATCAAAATTCAGAACAAGTGGTCAATGAAGAGCCATATAAGCATGCCCATTTGCCTGAATAAAAATATACAACTTAATATAACTAATAATTGACATGATGATTAATAATAGCACAAATGAAACATTGTACTCAAGGACTTTATTTAACGGAACTTCTGCTGTTGCATCTTTTCACACAGTTCTGGTCAAATTCAGCTTAATGCAGGCATTCATGCTGTCTTCTGTCAATCTTGAGAGCAAATTACCTTTGATGTGATTCAAATGAGAGAAAGCCTGCTCACACATATAGGTGGAGCCAAATATTGAAAGTAAGGCCAAGCTGACATTCTGCATGGTGCTGTATGTGACAGGAAGTTCTTTTCAAATTTCCAGAATGAGATTATCATTGTGCTCCAATTTCTTCATATCAGCTGTAGTGAGCGGGGTGGCTGCTCACTGACCCCAAGGGGGAAGAACCCCTTTCTGAGCTCGGGTGGGCTAAGCCGGGTCCTGCCCCTTTAACTCCCCGGAAGCCAAGGGTCAGGGCGAGTAGGATAAAAGCCCAGCCCAGGAGTTCAGTAGGGCCCCAGCTGCCGGAGGAAGCAGAGGCCTGCCCTGAGCTCCCAATCCAGGAGGGCCCTGAGGACCTTGCAGAGGCTGAGGACTGGCCCGGACCACCAGGCCCTTGCTCCGAAGAGGAGACCTTCTACACCCTGCACGAGGGTTCAGACTACCACAACCCCAAGAATCAGCAGCTGGAGTGGAGCCAGGTAGATGCTGACGGGGAATTAGGCAGTGGCCAAGGGGAAGCCGACAACTGTCAGGCTGATCTGATAACACTTTAGAGTGCATCAGTGTGTGGAAGAAAACATTGTCCTCAC